TTTAGCTATTACAAATTGTGCTGCTATAAACATGGGTGCACATATATCGCTGTGATTTCATGCTTTCAGATCTTCTGGGAAATACCCAGAAGGGGAATGACTGGGTTGAATGGGACCTCTAGACCTAGTTTGCTGAGAAATCTCCAAACTGATTTCCACAGTGGTTTTACCAGCTATTTAATAAAAACCTTCACCCTCAGATGTCCTTTTAATATTTGATTCAATAAATAATTCAGAAATGTATTGCAATTATCTTTAACTTTTGTATTAGTACATAATAAAATGTTCACAATACATACATTTATTATAATTATTCTGAAAGAATGTTTAGTAGCTATCTTTGTCTTAGTCAACTCCTGATTATTAAAGGTTCTTGGGTTAATATGGTGTTAAACAGTAAGACTGTTATTACATATTTAAGTTGATATGTCATATTTTAACTTATAGCTTGTTGCAAACTACAAAGTTGAGTTTATTAAAGTTGTAATCATTATATACTAATAACTCACATTTATATACAGGAGTGTGCTTTTGCATTTGTTTCATTTAAAGGTTATAAAATCTTGTGGTCTGCCTGAAAGGGCTTGTATTGTTTATTTTTGTTTTGCTTTAGAAACAGTTGAGACTTAAAGAAGCTAAGTCACTGGCCCAAGATTGCTTAGCCAAGCCTTGCACCTGTGTTGTCTGGCTTAAAATCCAGGGATTTCCCCACTGAAACATACTGCCTGTGTGAATGAAAGTTACCGTGACGTAGAAATTTTAATCTAGCGTAATATTTTTGTGCTTTGTTATATTTAAATGAAAACTACCTCTGTGAGATGTTGTGTTAGTATCTTGAACTGATATTTGTACATAGTATGGCACGTATATCTCAGTGAACTTTGTCCTAGCTTTTCCTTCGATATATACACCCTAAGGTAGCAGTAGATTTTTTGGTGCTAGCACTCTTCAGATTTTCTAAGACTTAGACAGTTGCCTAATAGGACCTATAGCATGTTCATTTGTATTTTGTGCCCTTGTGGTCCATATTTGTCATTGGTGGGTAGAGTAAGTTTTAAAATCAAACCTAAGTGATTCCAAAGTGTGGCTAGTGAATAAAAAGGAAGCAAATTTGGAAAGTACTACGTGGAGGCAAAAGATTTAAAACTCTATAAAACAATGTGACTAACATTGGCTTAGATTCCAGTGAGTAGGTCAGATAGGTTTGGAGTGAGAGAAGGGAATGTATATTGCTTCCCAAGACCACCCCTTTAAAAGTGGCCATTGCTCACTTGGGTGTTTGATATTGTAGGGCGTGACTTGTAGAGTCCTGAAGATAGAGAGCATTTGGTGCCTGGCCAGTGTCATCCTTCCCTAGCAAAAGTGAAGCTGGTACCATTTCTTGAAGATTGAATGTGAGTTGTTTACTCATGGTATATTGGGCCGGCTAAGCTCTTGAATAGCCTCCCATAAAATGCCAAAGTTATAGACACGCTCATGTCAGTGTTTAAAGGTTTAACTCCGGAGAGCTAGGTATTGGGGGTTTGGAGTAGTAAGAAACATTAGCGCTTTTGTTTCTACTGTGTTCTGATGATAGCCCTCGTCTGTCATAATGAGTGTGCTGCCGAGTTTGAGATGGATTCCTGACTGCTCTTTTGGAGATCAGTTCTATGAAGAGTGCTTAGAGCAGAGATAGCCAGTCAGCAGAGCCTACATTTAATTCCAGACCGTTGTCTGTATCCTGTTTTGTTTTTGGCCCCTAAGAGGCTAATTAATTACTTTAGAGAAGAGGATCTTTTTTTCTTTTTTTTTTACATCTTTTTGAGACAGAGTCCTGCTATTCAGTTTAGGCTGGCCTTGAGCTCACTTTGTAGGCCAGGCTGGTCTCAAACTTGCAACGATCCTCCTGCCTCAGCCTCCTCAGTGCTGGGATTCCAGGCGAGTATCCTTAGTGAGTAAGTTCTGCATCAAATGGGTTGAGGTTCACCTCAGTTGCTTTATTGATACAGTCTTAAATAATTTGTGAAGGATTTATTTGGTTCTTTGTTTTGGGGTGTTTTGTTTTGTTTTTGGTACCAGAAATTGAACTCATGACCTTACGCTTGCCAAGTAGGTGCTGTGCCCCTGAGCTATATCCCCAACCCTGTTTTGTTTTGTTTTGTTTTGAGATAGGGTCTTACTGTATAGTTCAGGCTGGGCTGGAACTATGTAGCCTAGGCTAATATTGAACTTGTGGTGATCCTCCTGCCTCAGTCTCCTGAGTGTTAGGATTACAGGTGTGCACCACCACATCTGGCCAGCTAGTGAAGTTTTTAAAAAATTATTTAAACCCTAATATTTAAATAATTCAGTGAAGGACAGTTATGAATATTTGTTGAGTACCTATTAAGTACTAGCCATTTTGCTAAACATTTCCTAGGCCTTATCTCATTGAATCTTCACAGAAGCTATGTAAGGCAGATTATTCTCTTCCCCCCATTTATACAGAGAAGAATACCAAGGCACTGAGAGAGGCTTAGTGACTTTGCCCAGTCACATAGCAAGTAAGGGTAGAGTGAGGGCTTTGAATCAGGCAGCTTAGCCCTGTATTAAAATGTGTTATTACTGCCATAATCAAGGCAGAGATCATCACAGGTTTTAACTCTCTCAGGTATGTAAATGCATTTCATTGAGTTAAAGAAGGTGCTATATTTTTATGTTCCTTATAGTCAACATTCATGGGTTTTATTTTTTAGGGGTTTGCTCTGTGGGCTTCTGTTCTAACCCCAGTGGTACAAGGACTCAATCACATGCCAGCACTTTTCTCATTCTCAGCCCTGAGCTGACCCCTAGAAGGGAAAACTATGACCCAGGGCCAGCTGCTGGCCTGTCTGTCTGTCTGTGCTCTCCAGCCCAAGAACTGATTCCCTCTCTGAGGAAACTGGAGAGTTTCCTCAGAAACTGCTGAGAGGCTTTGATGTAGAGGTAGCAGTTGAACAGATTGTCCTTTAGAAGTAGCCAAATTTCATTTTCCAGATTGAAAGACAGACTTCCAAGAAAACTTTTCTTTTTAATGTTTTGTTCTAGCATCCAATAAAAGACCCAACTTCAGATCCAGGTTTGAGAGTTTCTCAAGGCTATTCTTGTTCTAGGTGGAGGGCAGTTGGCCCCCTCTCAGATGGCATGTGTCTTAATAGCTGTGTGGCTGGCCAGGCCAGCCTTCACTCCCTCCTGCTGGATTTGGAGCAGAAGTCCACTTGACAGCTGCTGGGCACCTCCCAGCAGGCTCATCGGAGTACTTTAATGTCACTCTGTAACAGACCTGGATTCATCCCAACCTTTGCCACTGGCTTAATAATATTGTGACTGCTTACAGGTTATTTAGCCCCTTCCCTGACTCTCCACTCAGTATTGGGGATTGAATCCTTCCTCATGCATGCTAAACAAGTGCTCTAGTGCTAAGCTACGTTCCCAGCCCTCTTTTTTATTTTATTTTGAGAATCTTGCTAAGTTACCCAGACTGCCATCGTCTTGTCTGTACCTCTTAAATAGCTGGGATTATAGGCATGCACCACAACACTTGACTAGAATTTTGTGAGTTCATTTACTCATTTCTAAAATGAGGGTTCTAGCCAGGCATGGTGGTACATGCCTGTAATCCTAGCACTCAAGAGACTGAGGCAGGAGGATTGCCATGAGTTTGAGCCAGCCTAAGCTACACAATGAGTTCAAGACAGCCTGAACTACTTAGCAAGACCCTGTCTCAAAATTAATTAATTAATTAATTACATGAGGGTTATGCTTCCCTCAGGGTTAAAGTGAAGGTTAAATGAGAGGATGTATTAACATTACTAGTAGTGGGCCTGGCGTGTATTGTGGGTCCTTCTTAGGGTTGGTTTCCAATCTTAGTATTAATGAAGTAGTTACACAATAAGCCCACAGTGAGCACGCTCCCTGTTAGTACTGGTGATGGTTAGTATGCCGTGCAGTATCCTGCCCTGTTTTACCTCCTAGTGACCCCTCTTTGTCATCCCTTAGTAACTGTGTAACCCACCAGTTGTTGAAAGGCAAAAGATGTCACTTCTTTCTATTGTCATTGCCCCAAAGGGCAGATTCTACCATAAAGACCCAACTTTCCCGTGGATTCTCTTTTTTCCTCATCCATTTGTTCTAGTTTTTCTCCTGTCCTTGTGTTTTCAGTGGGAATTCCCTTATCCAACTAGAGGCATTTCTTAGAGTTCTGAAAGTTAAGAGGCCTGGATGTCTGAGCACAGACCTGATTTGTGGGATCTGAAACCAAGGAGGCACCCTGCGCAGTTTTGTCATTCTTGGAGTGATGAACAGCCTTCATGAATATAACCTGCTTTCTTATTCAGTGGCAGCTCACAAGAGCCCCGTTTATTTCTCCTGCTCATTTGAATAAATTGTTCAATATACCTGTGACCATACCACACTGGAGCACCTCAAAGGAAGAAGAGAGGAAAAGGAGACCAGAAAAACTAGAACTAGAACCCTAGAAATCATTTAGGCCACATTCTGCATAATGAGGAAACAGATTCAGAGGGAAAAGTGATTTGCCCAAGGCCGCACAGCAAGGCGCTGACAGGGCTGAAACAAGAAGGCTGGTTGTCTGTGTTCAGTTTTCTGTCGCTCCATGGGCTTCCGTATGTTTCCGCTGTTCTTCTCTGTGAAAGCCTAATAAACATGGTATTGCCAGATATTTTAGTTGAACACATTCTTACCAGTATCTAAAATATAGTCAGTATGCCTCTTTTGAACTCTGACTTAGTTATATTTTATTGTTATTTTTTAGGGTGTCAGATGCCAGATACATTCAATTCCTGGTTTCTTATCACCCTACTTCATGTCTGGTAAGTGAACAACTGAAGTGAAATCACTATTTTTGTTTTGTTTTCCTTTGCCCTGTTGACTTGTAAGGTATGGCCTTCAACAGGGCCGATTATATGAAATGGCAGTTATTCAGGCATAAAAAAGTGTTCCTTTCATTTTAATAACTGGTGTCTTGAAGCACATTTTTATTAAAGGTCAAAGCATAGGCCCAGAAAGAAACTAATATTTGTAGGAGTTTTTCAAAGAACATCTGACTCTGTGAACAATGCTATCAGTATCTCGCAGAGACTCTGAGCTTAGGTGGAAAGTTCTGTCCTTTGGCTGTTTTAGGAAAGCTCACATTTACGTAAAAGTGGTTTGAATTGTGAGAATCCGTGGTCATTTTCATTGCTGGTCATCAGAAACCTATAACAAATTATAGCGCTGACATTTATGTCCTTACCTCTAAAATGTGCATGCAGGTTAGATTCATGCCGGTTTGTTGCATGTAAAAATATTTGACACTTTAAACAGTATATTTTTTCTTCAACTGTGAAATAAGTAGCCAAAAAAAAATCAATTTTTCATCTACTGTTACTCAGTATTAAAGGTCAGAGGAGTATTGGAGTCACTGAAGTGGGGGCTGGGGAATGTATTTTTTGAGTTGCCAGATCTTGGGAAAGTAAATTCTGGAGAACTGAGTTTACTACTTTGACCACTGACTATCTGAGGAACGTGGGGAATGACCACCTTGTCAAAAGGACTCTTGTTGGAGAGCTTTCAGCTGAGCCTTGCGTCACAGGACTACTATATAAAGACTTTATGGTTTTGATCACCTCTGAAGTGTTTCTTCTGAACTCACATTGTCACCAAGTTTGGCAAAGGAGCCTAAGGTAGCAGTTTATTTTATGTTATTATTTTTCCAAGCTGGCAGCTTTTTGAGTGCACACTACTGGACACTTTGCTATGAACTAGGGATAGTTCTCAAGAAACCTACCGTCTAGTGGGGGGAGATAAGACTCATAAAATAATCAGTTATAAACAGGGATGGCTAAGTTCTGTGCTAAATGTAAGCAATGCTTATATGATCACAGGAAGGTATAACTATCAAAGTCCTTCTTAGTTTCACCTCGTAGCTCTTTGAAACATGCCATGGCTGGTAGGCAGTTGAGAAGGCAGGCAGTGTGTTTTTGGTCTTTGTGGTGAAGGTTAAGGAGAGGGTACAGGGAAAGAAGCTGGGTCTAATGAGGGGAAAACTACTTTTTCAAAAGCTGAGCGCTGCAGAGGTGGCACTGGAGAATTACTCACTGGAAAGGTGGGAGGGTGAGAGAAGGCTAAGCTATTCCCAGAGGAGCTCAAAGATAATATTCAGAGCCCGAATGAAAGAGTCTTTATTGCCTATATAGCTAGAGGTATCAGAGTGGTAGAGGGAGTGGATGGCAAAATAAAATATATAATCCTTGTAACCACATCCTAAGGTCAATACCTGACTAATAGCGGCTGGGAGAACCTTGAAACTAGTGGTAGTTCTCTAAAGTTTCCAAACTATGTCCACTGAGCTTTCCTTGCTGAGGTTGGTTAAGTTTCTCAGAGTACAGTGTACCGCTACCATTTAAGCATGGGAGAGGGAGGCTGTCTGCTTTAAGTCTACACTTGGTGCCCCTCCATCTTCTTCCTTGCTCTTAATTTTGATGATCTGCAGGTTTGGGTGGAATGAATCAGTAGCTTTTTGATTAGAATTAGCAAACTCTTACTGATGATATACCATGTGTTTGGGAGCATGGTTTGTTGAAAAGAAGGCTACAACATGGTATATACCTTAAAGAAACTTCAGTGAAAAGCAAGCGTAAGGTACAATTGCCTGTAGTGGATGATAATGAAATACTATGCAGAGGACACAGGAAGATGCTGTGGAGGTGCACAAGGAAGTGTGACTAAATCCAGATTTGGTGGCAGCGAGTGAAAGGTACATTAGATAAAGACTGGCTGTAGACTTGGGGTATAGCTCAGTGGTAGAGTGCTTGCATGCACGAGGCCCTGGGTTCAAGCCCTAGCGTCATCCACAAAAAAGTGACTGTAGTAAAGGTAACATGGAGGGTAGGTAGAATTTCTGTTAGAGAAAAGGGAGGCATTTTAGGTTAGAGGATATCGGTAGCAGAGGTCAGAACATGTACAAAAACATGGAATGTTTGAGGGCAGCCAGCTGTCCGAAGAGTCTGGGGCAGGTTTATGGAGGAATGTAGTAGAAGGGTCACCAGAAGAATAGTTGAGGGCCCAATTGTGATCCTCCAAGAAGAACTGGAGAGAACTATCTCTTCTAAGGGATAGGGGCTAGGAGGGTTGATGGAGCCACCCCTAGTCTGTGGAGGAGTTATGTTCATTTAGCCCTGTTCTCGTTGCCTGAAGCCCCAGGAGAGTAACTGAGGGACAACCAGATCGGAAATTACAGCAGTTGGCACTGATTGGCTAGAGACACAAGGATTGAAGTCCTTTCGAGGTAGACTGAGAGAGAGAGAAGTGGAGAGGCTTAGAAAACGGTCATAAATACAAAGACTCCTCTCCCCCCAAACAAAACCAGACTCCTAAATAAAGAAACCCTGGTGGCAGGTTTTCTAGAATGTTTGCTAGATTACCAAGGGTAGTAGTTCTGTTTTGGGTCTTAGAATAGGGAGAGGATGTTTCACATCTTGTTAGTTCCCTGGAGGAGATGTTGATGTTTCATTTATCCTGCCTGCTTTTTCTGGTTTCAAGGTTTTTTTGTGAATTGAGATTTAGGACTAGGACCCTCTCAGGTTCCTATAAAACCTTTATCTATTCATGTGAGCTCACAGCTGCAGAAACTATATGTCCACTGTCTTTGTTGAACAATATTAGTATTGACTGTGACTGCTGGAAAAATGCTGGAAGAGCTAGCTGTCTGAGTTACCGGCATCCCTGCGTGGACTTGATAAAAGCAGCCATCCTCCTGTTTGCCTTATCTTGGCCATTGACATTGTGAGTCCATTCAGACCTCCATACCAGAGAGCTGAGAGTTCTCCTTTAGTCACCAGTCACCTAATGAAAGCTTTTGCCTGTAAGCTGTAATAACAAATGCATTTTACTTTGTGGCCCAGAATATACACGTATGTCTGATTCAAAAGTTTTCTAAAAAATTGTCTTTACATCTTTATAGTGTCTGATAATCTCCAACATTTTCTATTCCATTTGAATTCATTTTAAGCAGAAATTCATGTCAGCACTAAAGTGATTTCACAGGGTTTACAACCACCAGTCCCTGAAAACTGGTCTTTGGCCTCTGGCTTCCCTCTCCTCGTTCGTTTGGTCCTCTCATTACAAATTGGATGCCCTCTTCTGTCAATTCCTTAGCGTGACATTCGTATGACACCATATATGGCCTGTGCTGCCTGTGCTAGTTTTTTTTTATGCCATTCTGCACAAGTTCTCTTTTGTGTAGAATGCCTTTTTCCTTTGTCTCCACTTGACCAACTCCTATTTCTCCTTCAGTCCCAATTAAGGTATTATCTACTTCTTGAAGTCTTCCCTTCCCTCTGAACACAGCTCCTCATCTATGTCCCTTTCGTATTTTTCCATTTTTAAAAGTTAAAATTTTAACTGATACATAAAATCATAAAAATTGTACATATTAGTGGGCTGCCATGTAGTGGTTTGATACATACACATGTATACATATATGTGCTTTTTTTTAAGACCGGGTCTCACTATGTAGTTCAGGTTGGCCTGGTCTCACAGTGTAGCCCAGGTGGACCTTGAGCTGCCTCAGCCTCCTAGGTGCTAGGATTACAGATGTGTGCTGCCATACCCGGCTCTTTTTTTTCCCTTTCCCTCCCGCTCCTTCTCCTTCTTCTCCTATTTTTTGTGGTGGACTCATTAAATCCAGGGCTTCACACATGCGAGGCAGGCACTCTACCACTGAGACAGATACATTGCCAGCCTTCTTCTAGCTTTTTGAAACATACAGTCTACTATCATTAGCTGTACTCAGCCTAATGTGCAGTAGCACACCAGAGCTTCCTGCTCCCGACTGTAACTTAGTACCCACCGATCAAACCTGCCCCCAGCCCAGTCTCTGGTAACCACCCTACTCTCAAACTTCCTTGAGATCAACTTTTTAGAGTTCACGTATGAGCACATCCTTGTCTCTTCATGTGCCTGGCTTATTCACTTAACATGATAATTTCCAATTCCATCCACATTGTCTTAAATGATGAGTCCCTTAGTGTTTTGCATACTCTACCATGGCATTCATCATATGCCTTTTTTTTTTTCCAGTATTGGTCATTGAGCCCAGGGGTGCTCTACCATTGAGTGACATCTCGGCCCTTTATTTTTTTGTTTTGAGGCAGGGTCTCACTAAGTTGCCTAGATGGGACTTGAACTTGTGATTCTCCTGCCTCAGCCTTTCTTAGTGTGAGGGATTACAGGTGTGCACCTGTGCTCATCATGCAACATTTTAATATTGTATTAATCTTCTTTGTGATGGTGATTTTATTAAGAGCAGGGATTATTTTTGTTATATTTGTATTTGATTCCTTCCCCTCAGTCCCACTATTCTTATTTTGCATCAGTAATTTTTTTAGTGAAAAACAACTGTATTAGAAATTTTAATAAGAATTTAAACCCAACAGCTGAGGGGAGAGGCAGAAAAAAAGAATTTAAACCCAACAAACATTTTTATTTTAAAATATTTAGTTAAAAATTAAAATTGCATAATTTAAGGTATACAATATAATGATTTGATGTGTATCAGCAAGTGCTTATTAAATAACTGATGGCTCTGGATCTGCCTCATTTCCATGACAACTGAAAGGCTCCTGGCCTCTGCCAATTGGTCAGATGAGAGCGGCAACGATCCATTCCTACTTAAGCCTCCTTTTGGAGGGGGATTAATGTAGCTTGAGTTTATATTGCCATTGTGCCGGTAGATTTGTAGACTCTTGCTGCTTCAAACTGTCATCATAACCACAGGGGCCGGAGTTATAGCTCAGCTGCACAAGCGCCTGCCTGGACAGTGCAAGGTCCC